TAATAATAATAATAATAAAAGTTTTAAAAAACATTGAGTGAATAAGGTTTCGTTCGTAGATGATGAAAGCGCATGAACATTACTTTCGAGCTTTGTAAATAAAAGTGGGCTTGCAAGGTAATTAAAATAGATTTATACATTCCCAAGAGGACCGACTCGCTAGATCGAACAAACGATGTCACAGAAGAGAGAGAGAGAGAGAGAGAGAGAGGGATACTTTTTTGTTAATTCATCATTCTCGTTATAAATGATTTCTCCGGCGCATCGTGCTCGCGTATGTATATATAAAATATGGAGTCAACCGTACGCGACACTCCAGTGTGTTTATGTATATTTCTCAACGTTACCGAGACGTGTGTGCATGTGTATATATACTCAGATTTATAAGAATTTCAAAACCATAAAGATAAAACTTTTCTAAAGCCCCTTCCCGCGATCGCGTATACATATATAAAACCTGCTTTTTAATGGCGACAAAATAAAAAAAAAATAAAAAAAAAAATCATTCGTATGCGCGCGCGTGTGTGTACGTTTGGTTTTACTCCAAGTAAAGATTGAAAACTGGTTTAGAAATTTACTGCTCGGTCGTACTAATGTATGTGTACACTCGCACGCACACGGACTCACTTTAACATAGTCGAGATTTAAAATTAACTCTACGCTATGCAAAGGCAGGCGAACGTCTCATTTTCATGTATTTATAAACGAATAAACTATTTGAATCTTTTTTTTTTTTTTTTTTTTTCGATAGGTGCCTTTGTAGCTCAATACGATTAATTCGCACACTCTCGCTCTATAGTAAACAAACAAAGTGAGCACCAATCAAGGTTAGTTTGAAAATATGCCTGAAAATATAAAATTTAAGACGACTTGTTTTTTAAAAATCTATGTGTAAGAAAATCGTTTCCCACGAAAAAATTAAAGATAAATTTGTCGCAACAATTGTACTTTGTAATCCACATGAAATATTCTACAGCTGGAACTGATGTGATGAGCAAACGTAAAAAAAAAAATTTTCCATCCAATCGATCCCAGGTCTCTTTTGTCCTTCAGCAAAAAAAACGCCAGATATACGGACCATATATAAATAACCACGGACTCATCTTTGTTGTATACCTCGACCAACTTCCGGCCGCCAGGCTCTTTCCACGCACGGCATATGTATTTGCACCAACTCTCGTTACTGCGATAACAAAGCTAATAATTGAACGTCAAAAAAAAAAAAAAAAAAAAAACTCGCCTTGACTCAGCACATATTATATACTGTAGATTCAAGGTGTAGGTGCAATCATCTTTGTTTGTTCTTTCGTTGTTTCTTATCTACCGTAGTCCTTATCTCTAATCGATCGGGGTTAAAAATCCATGCCCTCCATTGTATTGGCAGTAAAAAAATATGATTTTACGTAGTCACGAGGGAAAAGAGGGCTCGTCGCGCAATGATTCTTTGTAAGGAAACACTCGAGAATGCGGAAAAATAAATAATAATAAAAAAAAAAAACGAGAAAAAGGAATAAATATCCCGCAGCCGCGCAATTTCAATAATTCCTCTATAACAACACACGCCCGCGAAGGCGCGTATATAATATACATACAGAGATGGGAAAAAAAATACACACTCGAGCTGTAATATTTATCGAGATCTGGCAATAAGAGATGGAGAAGGAAGTATATATATAATATTATATACATACCTGTAAGAGCGAGGTAAGCTCGACGGAAGTCGAGAGATGGAGAAAGCCGGGGCCCTATAACTATATTATATGGGCGCATACGGCAGCACCACGGCATAGCATCACCGCGGAACACTCGCGTGCTCTCCGGCTACTATATCCGAGGAGATAGAAATAGACGGGCGCGCGAGCGTTGCTGTACCTATGGTGCATAGGTATACACATACACGCACGAACACAGACAAGTGTGTATGTATGTTTGTATGCTCTTTGCTTATACCACTTCTTCTTCTTCTTCTGCGATCGACGCATCATAAGAATTGCAAGGCAGTCGTCGTACCCCGTGCACCACCCCTTTTTCCGATGTGGAAGACAGAGATTTTGCAACGTGCCGTCACCCACCCCCTCGTGTTGGCAGATTTTTTTTTTTACTTTACATCCATAGTCTCTTGTTTTATTGACGAGCAAACGGTTGGTAGCGGATATTATAGATTAATCATTGGAGACATAAAGAAGAATTATTTCTTAACGCTTGTTCTCAGTATATGCAACAAAGATTGTCACTCTGTGTCGTGATATCAAATTCAAATTACGAAAAAAGAGAAACGTAGTACAATTAATTGTCTTATTGGTCTCAAGTGTTAGTATGTGTTTTTTATTCAATTAAAAATCTCAACAACAAATTTTTGAGACTATTTCCTTTTTCAAAAGTTTAAAAAAAAAATAAAAAAAAAATAAACGGGCAAATAAATATACAAATAGAAATAACAATTCATCTGGCTATTTTTTAATCTTCCGACCGCAAAATTTGTGTTCAGGAAGCCAAAATACATTGGAATGTTTCGGCAATATCGCGAATACTGGAATCTAGATGAAAAAGCGGAAAGGGATGCATTGTGTTAACATTTTTGGGTTTTCTACCAAAAAAGTTGAAATTTTTGCACGAAATTATCATTTTACTTCAAATTAAAAGCCAAAATTAAAAAAAAAAAAAAACTCAGTTTTCAACAATAATATCGCCGACAAAGCGAACACTGGATTATTTTACCTGGAAGGGGACACGAGACGGGTATACTGCAGGATCACCCATTGGCGCCCAGACCAGAACATCGATTTCCGAACGAAACAAGGGCACCCGACCAAAACAAGCCAACGCGTACACCCACACAGAGAGTGACTCACTCGATGAAAGCACAGTACATGTATTATACGTCTAGCAAAGATTCGCAGCAAATAACAGAGAGCGAAGGTACGATATGATTTTTCAATTCTATCTATCGCAGAGCTGGTATTTACATTAAAATACCCCCTTTCGTGGCTGACCGTATACCCAATAACCCAAAGCTTCGAGCTGTAAGGTATACATCGTACCAAAGTGCAAAAAAACAAAACCGATCTCTCGCTTCTAGCGCTCGATAACGATCCCATATCCCATCCGACCGGTCGTATAGCCAAAGAGAGAACGACGACGACGACGACGACGACGAGGAGGAGAAAGAAGCAAGCGGAGCAACCCCCTCCCTATTAACAGAATAACATCCAGCACATGCAGAGAGCTCGAGACAGGAATCTAGTCGAAGCACTCTATACCTTTAATACCCATGTACACATACATGTATACCTGTACCGCTCGCCTAATGTACCTCGAAACTTTTCGTGAGAATTAGAATCGAAGCCGAAGGGGCACCTAATATCGGCGTATTACGCCTGTTGTGTATACCTATATATGTATATGCAGAGACCTCCCGAAGTCCCGAAGCAGAGAGTATTATATAGTATGGGCATAGATGCACGAGAAGAGAGAGAAAGAAAAAGAGGTCCGCAGGGCTCTCGGAATAGATCAGCAGAGCCGCCGAGAATATAACTCTCTATACAGATAATACATACATGCAAGTATAGTGGTAGTGGCAATGGTATGCCGAGCGCGCGAGCGACTCCGTTGTATGTGTCATCCGGCAGGGGTGAGCCTCCCTCTCTGTGTATACCTGTATACGAGGGTTTCGACCCTACCCTGAAAACTCCCACGAGTACAGTACCTCCATATAATATATAACGGATGTATGGGAGTTGGCGAGGGAAAATCAAACGAGAGACATGTATTTGCTGACATTGTCTCGTTTTACTTTTGCAGGTATTCTTCTTTGCTTTTTTTTTGCGGTGGATTTCGATTTCTTTGGAGGCTCAACAACGCGTGGGGGAACAATTGTACTTGGTGACCGGAAATGGACACGGAGAACGGTGTATAATATTGCGGTGTCGTCGTCGAGTATGTGTAGTTGGACAGGGATTGGATCAGACTTTTTTTTTGTTCGTTTTAAGATATACCTAGGTCTTTTTTTTTAAACGTGATTTTATTCGTTTCTCTTCGTTCGGAGAATCGATGACATTGAGACTCCTTTTTTTTCTTCTGCTTCTTCTTCTTCTTTTTAAATCTCAAGTGAGGAAAGGTATGGCTTTTTAAAATATTCAGATGATTAAAGGCAACTTTGTGATTCACTGAATACCCAATTCGGTGTGTTGTGCGCCTCGATGTTTAAAAATGCCATCCATCGTTTTGAGGCCATACGTATAGTGTGATTTATTCAAATTCATGCAAAAACAATTAACACGTTCTGATTGGCCTTTCTCCATATATTTCGATAAATATTCCACATTTCAAGTCGAAATGTTGAATAAAATTTTGTTATATTTCAATGTTTCGTCATAAATTTCGATCACTTGGCTAAAATTGGAAGCTGAAAAACGTTCGCGTCTACAAGGTTTACGTCAAACTACTCATCTCGCTGAAACCATAACCTCTCTTGTCGCGAATCCAGCTATACTATAAATAATACAATTATTGTATACATAAGCAAGGCCAAATGAAGCTGTTTCCATCAAAAGTATGCGAGACATCATAGTGAAATAAATACGATTTCACTTGCGGTATATTTGTGTATACTTTCTACACCACAATATAAACAAGGAGACGATACGACGATGTACACTAACGACGAGGATTTCTTTTTAATTTGCACTTTATACTTTGTGAACAAAAGTGAAAATAATCAACTCCGTATTTTGGAAGGTCCACATTAATTCGTGCATTTTTGTGTATCAAACGTGTAAATGATTAGTTAACTAACCTTTATGATGTACTGCAGCCTGCGTGGGTCTCCTTCTGCGTCCGATGCTCCAAAAAAAACGTCACACCGTAGACGGGAGTCGTCGTTCTCGCCGTGGTCGGAGGAAAAAAAAAAATCACAGTTCCTCGAAATCGGCACACCCGTCCCCCGTCCCGTCACACTCTAGCCTCTCTTTTCGCCCGGAAAAGGAGAGATGAGCACGCTATACACCACTACTACCATCCGCGCTATAGGTACCCATGCGCGCGATGTACTCTTTCAACGAGAGAAATAAACCACACAGGTGTGTATGTAAAGGTAGCTTGCTCCGTTTTTTTCCTCCCCTCAAACTTACGCATCACTCTCACGCGCCCACTTGCACCTCACTAACATGTACTTTATGTACACAAGTACTGTTAAAACGCAAACACCTCGATCGTGTTTTTCTCGTTCTATATTCACTGCAGACAGACAGCAAAGCTTTGAGGAAAAACTGTCTGTCTGTCTATCTTTCTGCTATTATACACCATACAGTTGATGCTCGTCACAAGTCTCGCACAAAACAACAACAACACACGTTTGGTTCTCAATTCACAACAAATCAGGTATAGGCAAATAAGTTCAGGTGTTCGAGGGGCATTGATGATATTACATAGACGGAGGTGCAAGCAATAATAGCAGTTATTTTTGCGGAACGAAAAGGAGGCACGCGTCGCGCATTTTTTGCAAAACGATGTATATTTACTATATACTAATGTATATATAAACAAAGAGCGTGAATAGACGTGTGAACTTGAGCGACAAAAAGAAGCCCGACGTACTCGGCTGCTCGAGCTGGACTGACGGCGGCGCTCGAGTCGCTCGAGCGCTGAGCTGCGTGAAAAGAGGGAGGGGGATAGAGAGAGAGAGAGAGAGACGTTCCGAAGTTTCCCGATTCCGACATTCCGAGCCGACGGCGCAGCGCCGCAGCGGCGGGGTATCCTCCCCTCCCCCGCGTAATGGTAGAATATATGTGTATGTATGGGGGATACGCTCTAATATATATATGTGTGTATATTCTTTGCTGACTTTGCTTATATGTGTTTGAAGTAGAACGTGTACCTGCATTTGTATGTGCTTACATACCTAAGAACCGAAGTCTACGAAAAGTCTACCTATACATGAGGGTTATGGAGTATGGATAGAAATCATATCAGAGAAAGAGACAGAATCGTAAAAAAATACAACCGGCCGGCTGCTGCGACATTTGGTCTTTCTGCGTGCCGTTATAAGTATTGCGTAATTTAATTTAGTGTTATTAGTTATTAAGTGTACTTTAATAGGTACTAAAAATCCGAGGGCTATGTAATTTGAAGTACTTACCTATCTGTCCGAGGTACGTGCTGTGCTGAGATTTGTTGATTGTTGAGAAGATCGAGATAACGCTGATAAACGCGCTATCTTTCAGTGATCGGCAGCCATCTTGTATGTTGATAGATTTTTGATACTACAGGTTAGGTTACTTTAATCGCTTGGGGTTGTAGGTAACGTTCGAAACATTCGAATAAGTATACCTAACCTATACCTAAGAGGAAAAAAAACGTACTATGCAGTATGCATGCGAAAACTCAATAAGCATACTTATATAGCAACAATTACAGTTAATCGAGACCATCAATTGAGGTTGGCTTTAGCAATAAATAATCAATCAGACTGAACTAAAAGTGTTGTAGTATATTGATACTGAAAAATCTGAGACAGCACTCGTATAACAAATTGCTGCCGTGACTTGGTGCTTGGTTTGCGTGTGTGTTCACATAACCCATAACTCCTTGACATGATATCAACTTAGAACTGGAAATTCATATTTAAAACAAATTTAATGTGTTTTGAAATTTGTGAATATTTTTCAGGTGACATAAAACACACGTACTAAACAAGGAGAGAAAAATTTATATCCAGTCAAAGGAGCATCGGGCTAATTGTGAGACGAATTACTTTATGATTAAAACTTGAGTGTGAAAATTCATCTTCCATCCCATATGTAGTCTAGGTGAGTATTTCTATAAAGTGGGTCCAAATCATGCCATAAATAATCTAATCTTGGGAAAAATAAATACAGAAAATTAGCATTATTTCACCCAGATAAACAGTAATCTGTTAGCATATGCTTTGTGTTAGTTTTTGCATTGATAAATGCTTTATTTTTTTTTGAGTGGATGCAGAATTATAATTAAAACAATAAAACCTTGTTTGTTCTACATAGACAGTCATACTTGTCAGGCTGCTTTGATGGATAACGAAATTTCATATTTAGTCAACATATCTTTCAAATATCAACCAATTTAATGGCATCAGATATGCAAAAATGAGCGGGGATAGCTTTATCTCGATCTCTCTGGCTTTTTCCCTTCAAAGCCCATAAGGGCAGTGAAGGAATTTTCAATTTAAGGAAATGTTTTGGGTCTTATCTTTGGCTCCGGCTTTAGGCCTGTCTCCTTAAGATAGACAGACAGACGCACAGAAAAAAGAGACGGCAAAAAAAAGGCTACGCGAGAGAGAAAAGGAGAAGGAAATAAAGGAGCACGCAAAGAGAAAGAGAATAGAAGCATACATAAGGCGGAGGAGAGGCAGCGGAAAAAAGGAGAGTGAGAGAGAAACAACCTCGAGAAGGCGAGCCTCCGCTCGGGTCGAGGACGGCCAAACGGGCCTCTCGCGCCTGTGTGTTTATTTGTTAGTGTGTGTATGTACAATTCAGTATGTATATGTTTAGTCCCCCTTTTCTCTCTCCCTCCCTTGTTGAGAGGTCGCGCCCGCGATTTCGTGTCTATCGGCGTAGGCGCGTGAAAATACCGGGCAACTTTTAGCTGGCGAAATTTTGCAGCCGTCCCGGATGTTTGTGTTTGCAAAAAATGAGCTGGCATGGCATCGAGTCATTTCGATTGTATATTTTTTTTTTTTCAACGATGACTGATTAAATTTTATGCCAATGACAAGTTACTTTTGGCCATTGTTACGATATGTTATGAATGCACATTTTACAAATGCTCTACAGTGGTTCTCAACCGACCTAAAAACTAACGGAGAATGTAGTTTTTCAATTTTGTTTTCGATAGACAATAAAATATGTAAGAGCGCGTCTTGTTATTTATCCTTCGATTATTCATTATCGCCGTTCTTGAGCTGTAGTCGAGTTGATGAAAAGAAGGGAGGAGGTTGAGCGATGGGCACATGGGAGAAAGTTGGAGTCACGGTGCAATAATTTTGCATTTTCTACGGGCTCCCTCGTTGACCTTTTCTCGAGAAACCGCTCGAGCCTTACGTAACTCTGTGCGAGCTGCTTTACATTTTGCAATCACCTTAATAGACATGTAAACTTTGGAATTTACAACGGGACACCCAATAATGCGCTGCAGTTGTCAATCAAAAATTACGTTTAACTTTTTTTTTTTTTTTTTTTTCTACTAATACAACTTCACAGCAAGTATTGAGAAAACGATTTTACTATAGAAAAAAAAAGTTTGTAATTGCCGAAGATTAAAAGTTTTGCCTTTAATTGTCCACAATTAAAACAGCTCGCGTCGAAAGACCGATTTTTAAGAACGAAAGTGAGTAATTAGTTGAAATCGCAAAAAGATGCCGTGTGTTATTATCGTATACATAACTCGTGAAACGTGCAATTCCCATGATTACGCGTATATCGCAATGATGGAACATCAAAGTATATTTCCCCACCTCCAGCTACATTTTGTAAGTGCCTTTCCTGTCCGGAAGAAATTAACTTTCCTGTGGGTAGTGATGCAGAAATTAATGACGATCGACTTATTGCCGATATCATTTTTTGAGAAACAAAAAAAAAATCGAGGAAGCCAGTAAGTTTTGAAAGCGTATTAAACGTATTGAACGGCACGCATCAATCATCGTAGAAATTAAATTTCCCCAAAAGTAAACAAAATACCATACTTGATCGCATCCAAAGCAACGCGAAAGCGTCGACCATCGCATCGTGGATATACTCAGCATAATATATAATGCACGAAATTAAGGACTTTCGCGCTAAACGCGCATTCGTGCGAGGAAGATCTCAACCTTGGCTCCTACGAGTGAAATTTTCGTGTCCATAAGTATCCCGCTCTATTATTAACATGCATGTGGGGTACAAGCGCGAGCTCCCGAGGTACGTCTTCCCTTTTTCAATGGCGCGTCACGCCGCGCTGTGTGTGTAAGTACGTGTTTATATCGCGGTATGTATAATAATACAAAAGCGCGTCGCTTTCTCCTCTTCATCCCTCGCGCGCGACGTTATTTTCGCGGTGGATAGCATCTCTACACCTATGCCTTATCTCTGTTCTGTTATTACACTTGCAACAACTTTATTATTATTTTTTTTTTTTTTTCTTGTATTTCAGGAGTGTTGCCGCAGGCCGTAGCCAGTGAAGAAATCAAAGGGTGAGATCTCCCGGGCTTGCTCGAATGCTCGTGGTTTAATTGACTCGTACGAGTGCAGGCGCTGCAGGAAGTGCCGAGGATACGCCGTGTCAAGCATCGTCCTGCAAATATTTTACGTGGTGGTGTACAAAGCTCTCGACAGTAGACATCGTATCTTGCGTGTATATGGCACAAGGTACACGTATATACTCACGGAAGATAGTAAAATAGGTTGGTTTATTAATCGTAAATTTCGCGTATAGTGGTGGGCACTTGGCGAGTGTATATCCATGTGAATGTACGAATATCACGAAACTACTGTCAAACGTCACTAGAAACGAGGCGACGATAGTTAAACTTGGACGCGCGTAATCTCATAACTGTATACGCACTTGGTATCGATAAAATGTATAACTTGCCCACGTTACAACTGTACGCTCCACGATAAGAATTATATACTTGCGTACTGTATTTTATACGTATGTGTATACGCGTGTTTGCCTCGTCAACCAAAGTATCGCGAAATCCTCGTGCGGTATCGCGCGATGAATAAAGTATTTTCTCGCTCTCAGCGGTACACGGTTTGATAAATATTACGCGCGTCGGACAATTGGCTTTTTTTCTGACGCGTCGATAGTACCTATATATATATATACGTGCCAGCCCAGGCTCGTTTGTTCAAATTCGGGACTGATATATTATTTGTTATTTCATTACAATTTATCGCCCTTCCGCTGCTCGTACGCGCGTTATTT